AAGATCCATCCATCCATCCATCCATTATCTTTACCCGTTTATTCCATTTTGGGTCACGGGGGTCGCTGGTGCCCATGTCCAGCAATCACTGTGCGAGGGGCGGGGTACACCCTGGATGGGTCGCAAGTCCATCACAGGGCCACATAGAGACAAACAACCATTCACTCTCTTACTCACACCTAGGGACAATTTAGAGTTACCAATCAGCCTAACATGCATGTTTTTGGTCTGTGGGAGGAAACCGGAGCACCCGGAGAAAACCCACGCATGCACTGAGAGAACATGCAAACTCCACCCAGAAAGGCCCCTGGACCGGGGTTTGAACCAAGGACCTGCTCGCTGAGAGGCAGCAGCTCTACCAGTTGCGCCACCGTGCTGCCCAGCTTAAAGATAGCTAATGTAAAAATCCAAAGAAAGAAACAAAATCATAAATTTCATTTGACTGTTTTCATTTCAAAGTTCTTCACTTTTGCTTTATGTGAAGAAGACTTGTAGGTTACCTTTAATTTCATATTATACTAAAACATGTCTCCATATGTGCCACTGAGATGGACCTGTGACCTAAACCAGTCACCAGGGAGCCCAACCAGTGTATCTCCTGCCAGTCCCAGGCCCAGGTGAATGGTGAGGATTGTGTCAGGAAGTGTATCCACTTCTGTCAAAACAAATACAGTATGTGAGTTTTGTGCAAAGGACACCATACTGGAGCATTCAGGCCTGGATTAACAACGACCATCACCGGAGATGACAAACAGGGTGCCGGTGGAAACTGTGCTACTGTGCTGTGTTAAAGACCACGAGGAGGGAAACATGCCAGGAGACAGAGGGAGAAGAGGAAAATCAAGAGTGTATGACTGAGGGTGGAAACTCTAAATGAGGGGACAGTGACAGGCAAAGTATGGCTCAACACAGCACAGGTTGAAGGACTGGGAGATAAAGTTAGAGAGGCCAGACTGAGATAGTTTGGACATGTCCACAGGAGGGACAATGATTTGGACATGTGCAGAGGAGGGACAGTGGGTATATTGGTAAAAGGATGTTAGAAAAAGACAAAGAGGAAGGTCAAAGTGAAGATATGTGGATGCATTTAGAGAGGACATGGAGGCACTTGGAGTGAGTGAGATGGAGGAGGATTTATTTTCCCTCTCCTGCCTCCCTCCTGCTTTTGCTCTTGTTCTGTGAATCTTTCTCAGAGCCGCTCTTTACAAATCTTACGAATTGTAAATTATGGATCTGGTCAGCTGGTCTCTCAACACAGTTGATAAAATTTTCTTGTCGAGAAGACAGGGTGCAGGAGAACCCTCATGCCCTGAAGGGACACACGCAGCTGGATATATCATGGATTCCTGGGGTGAATGGAAGATGATGTGTGTCTGTCCATATTGTCCCTTGATTATGTTGAAGACGCGTACATAATTGGATTTATGATAACAGGATTTCCACTTTTTGGAATCGGCGGGTACCTGGGATATCGACAAACTAGGAAGATTTCGACAGCAGTTTTGGCGATTGTGAGACTGACTGCCTTATGTGAAGGATTGTACCGTGCTTCGAGCGCTCAGATTCAGATGCTTTATAAGCTAAACTGTAAGCTGGATGCAATTTCTGAGAATCGCAGGCCACTTGCAGCTCCTGGAACTTGCTGGCATAAAGGAATCAACCTTGGAGAAGGCTAAAATGCACTCAATGATGTAATGACCGCAAATCTGGCTGTTTGGATTCACCATTGAGTACCAGCAGAACTGTGAAGGCAGACATGAAATCAGTAGAGTCGGCCTCCCCCCAAACAATTGTTTTTTTAATCTGAATCTGGCTTCCTTGCTTAGCCTTGGACAGGCCAACTTATCTCAAATTGCTCCTGGAGGATACGTACATCATGAAGCTCTGCTCCTCCCACCCGAGAATATCTGTGGACCCTTATCAGCTGAGCTGGCTGATTGACACTGTGCCATATTTATCATGATTATAGAACTTTCTGGCATTGTTCACAAACAATCTCTCCGCCTTTGTCAACCCCCCCCCCCCGGCAAAATGTCTTATGTCTATCTGTGTTGCTTTTTTGTGTGCTGAGGTAGGTTTTTTGCTACTTTACAATGTGTCCTGTGTCAAGAACACAGTGTGAGAGATCTTTTTTTTTATACCTTCTTCTTTCCTCATGTTTTTCTTCTCTTTTCTTATCTAAACGATAAGGGCAGCACTTCACAGCAAAGCTGCAGCCTCCGTGCATCTCCGTCTACCCTTGTTTTTTTTATGGCTGCACTGAATTGTTGTGCTTAACTGTGCAATGACAATAAAAGTTGATTCTGATGACTCGCTGTGAAGACCCATGAAAAGGGAACAGCTGAAAGAAGAAGATGGTCCTGTGCCTGTCCAGGGCATACCCTGCCTCTTGCACAGTGACTTGGAGAAATGCACCGGCTCCCCTGTGACCTTGGAAGGCAAAGCAAGTAAAAGAAAGAAGGTCACAGGCTTGCCTCCCATGTTCTCTCTTTGCATATGTGGGTTTCCACCACATATGCCAATGGTATATGGCCAAACATACACGTTTTGTATTTTTATTCACATCAGTGCAACAACAACAACAAAACAATGAGCAATACACAGTCTCTTGAGTTAAAACATGTTCAATCTAATGTTGGTAAGTCCTCTGTTTATATCTTGTTATAGTGCACTGGGCTGTCCAATTGTGAAGAAAAGGAAGTTGGAGAAGGTTGAGGTTGAAGTTGAGGAGAACCAGTCTGCTCCCAAAAGAAGAAACCAGACGTCCAAACAGGCTGAGGAAGACAGTGACACAGCAGAAGAGGAAGAAAAGAAAGAGGAGTTAGAGGAGGACAACAACCTCATCAAAGACCAGAAGAACAACAAAGAAAATAATGTTACAGGTTCAGTAACTTGTAAGTGAAACCAAATAATTTTAAATCTTTTTTTTTCTTCAGACAAATGTTTAAGCATTTAGTGACTCTAACTATATGTAGCAAACTAACCTGTTTACAGATTTTATTTCTTATTGCATTTTCATAAAGATTAATCATTAGTAAGTGATAACATCCATGACCTTTACATAAATTTCCCTGACACATTCCCCACCTCTGTTCATGGTTGTTTATCACTTTATCAATAACTCCCCTGAAACTTTAGGATGCAATGAGCATGTGGTGGAAAACCCTCCCAGGGCAATAATTCCAATAAGGGAAAGCACCACATCCCTTTAACAGTGGCCCTTAACAGCGAATTTCAGCATCCCTCCTGGTTGTCATCAGCTCAAAAGAAATCATAAACAAACAAAAACCAACAAAAAACAAACAAAGAAAAACAAACATGGCTAAAACCAAAAATAAAAGACAAAACATAAAGCTCTCCTCAGACAGATCTCTATCTTTTTCTCTCTCTCTTTCTACCTAAAAGTTCTTCTGAGTATTAAGAAAATAATAAAAACAACAAAAGTTTTAAGCAAATGAGGAGTTCAGTTTCTTGCCCAGGGACACTTCAACATGTGACTGCTGGTGCAATCGAGCCCCCATATTTCCCAGTGGAGGACGACTGCTCTAGCCACTCAGCTACAGCCACCCCATCCATCCAATTATCATTTACATAAATAAGTGTAAGCATTCACAACAAATTTACAGATTTAAGTGGCTCAAAAATGACAAAAATTTTAAAATATATACGTATTTGTGTCTTGAAAATCATTAAAATTAAAATGTCTGGGAACCCTGGTTTAAAAAGTACCAATCAGATAATTATACAGATGGGAATATCTGAAAGTAATTTTGTAACAAGGACATTATTTGTTTTCCAGCAGACGGCTCACTGGTGGATACAGAGGACACAGAACGACTTTGCCCTCTGGCTGAAGACACCAGGAGCAAAAACATCACCTCAGAGATGGACGTCAAACCAGAGAGAGAAAACTGTGACGAGGTAAAACCAGTCATTGAGGATCATGGTCAGGACCAAACCGAAACAAAGGACGAGGACATCCAGCCACTGGATGAGTACCAGCCATCAGAAGACACCACTGTCATTTACCAGGAAGAGACAAATGATGAAGAGGATGAGAAAACAGAAGATGGAACAGAGGAGGAGGAGGAGCAACAAGAAAGGCAAGAGATCTTTGATGAAGAGAAGGAGGTGAGAAGGCAGATAATGAGACAAGAAAACTCCGATCACCAGTACTCCAGTGGAGATTACAACCCTCAGGCCAAAGAATCACAGCAGGAGCATAGAAAGGAGAGTGAACAGGAGGAAGAGGAGGAGGAAGATGAAGAGGAAGAGGAGGAGGAGGAACTACAGGAGGAAGAGGAGGAGGAGGAGCAGAAAGATGAAGCTGAGGAGACAGGAAGAGAGGTGGACACACTATTCAGCATGAGTCCAACCACTCAGGAATATGAAGCTACTGTGTCTCTCAGGGAAGAAAAGGTCAGCACTCTCCTGACTGAGGAAGAGGAGGATGAAGAGCAGGCAGAGGAGAAAGAGGAAGAAGAGGAAGCGAGACGAGAGAAGAAAGAAAGTATTGTGGAGGAAGAGGATGAGGAAGACAGAGACTCGAGCAAAACCTCTCTGAGTACTGTAGTGATTGAAGTCCACTCTGAGGAGGACGACGATGAAGAGGAAGAGGAGGAGGAAGAAGAGGAGGAAGAGGAAGAAGAGGAGGATGAAGAAGAAGAGGAAGGAGAAGAGTTGGATCAAGTTTCAGATGGCTCAGGAGTCACAGATGACTCAGAGACCTGGGATATGACTCGGGGGAACCTGGGGCTCCTAGAGCAAGCCATTGCACTGAAGGCTGAGGAGGTCCAGGGGAGTCAGGACAGCCGCAGCTCACCAGACTATGAACCATACAGTTCCTCTGTCAAGAACTCTGAGGCCTCTGCAGTGGCCCGGCGGACCTCTCACTGCAGCAAAGGTACTGTTTGTCTACAAGGTCCAGAAAAACAGTCCTGGGTTTTACTGAAATGAAAAGAGAGCAGTGTTAAGAAGAGTCACTGGTCAGCCTTTAGCCTAGCCAGGGGAATACTTTGGTCCTTTTCTGTATACTCCACGCTCTAGGACTGATACCATGACTAATACAATACTTTTGAGAACTATTTGATAAAACTTTGTTTCAAACTAACTAAACTTTCACTTCAAAGCAACCCAAAGGTCTCCCTAGACATTGAAACAAATGCAGCACATGCAAAAAAGTTATTTAGGTTGCCTAAACACAACCTGATCCTCACATCCAAATACACTCAGGTCCTCTAGATGATGCCTGGGAGACTGAGGGTTCCGTTCAGTATTTTAGCTGTTCCTAGGACTGTGCTCTTCTGGACAGAGATATCTGAGGTTGTTCCTGGGATGTTGGAGCCACTCTTCCAGTTTGGGGGTCACAGCACCAAATGATCCAGGACTACTAACACTTTGACTTTCCACAACTTCTGTATTTCCTCTTTCAGCCCTTGGTATTTCTCAAGCTTCTCATGCTCCTTCTTCCTGATGTTACAGTCACTTGGGATTGATACATTTATCATCATTGCTTTCTCTTCTCACTTGCTGATCACCACAATGTCTAGGTGGTTAGCCATCTATGTTTGTCAGTCTGGATCTGGAAGTCTGGTAGTAAATGCTATTTAGGAGCTTATCTTTCTCTTAGTGTATAGTTTCAAAGTGCTGGACTCAGGTTAACACCCTCCATGCATTGTGAGGAGCATTCAAGTCTTGAGGCAAGTCAAGTCTGGCCTCCACTGGCCAGGCTATTATACCAACTATCTGATGACTGGCACTGCATACGTGTTGAAGGCTTGGATTTTGCTCTTACCATTCAGTTTGCAGTCCAAGACTTGTTATACTCTCTGTAAGTACATGGTTTTGGCTGACTTTCTGGAGGCCTTTTCTTGGATGCCATGTGTTTGTGGGACTCCAACATATTTATAGGTCTTCTGAATGTCTGCAATGTTGCCTTCTAGTAGTTCAACCTCTTAAGTTGTCACTTTGCCTCTCTTGGATACATTTGACTACAGATTGCTGTCATCCATGTAAAGGAAGTGGTTGATAACTGTTCCACCCTGGAACTGGTGACCATAGCCACCCTTTCAGAAATTAACTGGCTAAATTGGTTCAAACCCAGACAGAACAGAAGTGGGGACAGAGTAACATCTTGGTATATGTCATATTTGATGCTGACTTGCACACTTGGCTTTGAAATGGCCTCTAGAGCCTTTGTTCACATCCCCATTGAGTTCTCGATGAAAGTTTTTTTTTTTTCCCCACTTCTGTTGATGTACAGTTTGAAGCCCTCCGGGATTCGTGCATATTGCATCGAGTCATAAGCTATGTAGTCAATTCAAGTGGTGCACAGGTTTGCGTGTCTGGTCTTACAGGCATGAGCAGCAGCTCTGTTTACCAACAGTGGGTGCTTGGCTCCCCTGGGGTCTCATGTACAAAGACCTTAGTGGATTTTCTACCTAATCTTGGCATACACCTGAATCATGTGACCAATGATGTCACGGTGTTATTATAAATGAATGCAAAAAAAAAAAGCTAAGGGATTTTAACTGTTTAATGGATATCTGAGCAAATACAGCAAAATATGAAAAATGTGCAGCGCAATCCTACATCCCCAACTTGATATAGGTGTTTCTGATGGAGTCGTGTTGCTCAATCCTTCTGTTTTTAATCGTATTGCATCTATCTGCAGCTTCTTAGTGGTGCACACTAGAGAATAGCTATACTGTTACTTTGCTTATGAGTGTACTCAAATTTACAAACAAATTTTTCAACTATTTCTTAGGCTAAAATCATGTAAGTTAATACAAAGTATCTGGTAAAACAAGAAGCTTATTTGTTTTGAAGACATTTTTTAAATAGAGTGGATGATTGTGTCTGCCAGTGTGTCTGCCATTCTGGATGGGTCCTTTCAACTGGCTGAAGTGTGCTGCTAGATGTTCATGAAGAGCAGTCAGTTTGAAGTTGACAAGCCAGTAGGTGGGGATCATGTCCATCCCTGGTGAAATTCAAATCTTCATTCCTGAGACGCTGTCTTGGACTCTGTCTGCCACTGTAATGAGCACTTGTTCTTTTACTGGAAGATTACTGTGTTCAGATCTTATCTCTTGTAGCCATGGGGCATGATTGTGATGCCTCCTTCTCCCATCCCATAACCTTCTCTAGTATGGCTGTCTCAGTTCTGGGTGGATCTTATTTCATGCCATTCCTCTGCCATTGAAAGTACAATTTGGATGGTGTAGTGAAAAAACTGTATTTACTCTCCTGGCTTCTGCTTCTTGAGTGAACCTCCTCAGGCAAGTAACCAGAGCTGTGAGGCATTGTTTGACAGTCTCTAGAGCCCCAGGTATGGAAAGGTATGTTTGTGACAGGTCTCTTGTTCATTTCTGTTGTTCTGACAACTTGCTGATTTCTGTCTGTGCTGTTGATAGGAGACAATGTTGACTTGTGGGCTTTAGCTTAAAATCAAGCATTTCATGGATCATTGTTGGTGTGGCTTTTAATAGCTTAGTGGGTTTTGTGAGGGTCCTTAAAGGTACAGTTTGTAGTGTTGCTTTCACATCTTTTAGCAGATGGTACATTGTCAATGAGCACTGGCAAAGAGTGCAAGTCAAACATGCTCAGCGTGGTCATCATCTTCAGGACTCAAGTCATTAGCCTGTGTGCTCAGTTCTTCAGGGTATTTCAGTGGGCCTTGGTACCTAAACTTGGATGGTGGAAAATAATATTTATATTTTTTTCATTTCACCTTTATTTAACCAGGCATAAACACTAAGAACAAATTCTTGATACAGTGCTGGCCTGGCAGGCACCAACAGGTACTTGTAGGGTATAATATAGTACCGTATACCCTCTATAACCTGTTGTCCTGGTTCCTCCTTGCCAGGGCATATTTGATCTAACTCATCAATTTCTCTCTTTAATGTAGAAATACTGGATGCAAAACTGTTTCTGAGTCATTCTGGATGTTCAGTTTCCAAGCTTTCATAATTCCCACATCCTTGTCAAATAGCCCCACTCACTAGACTCACTCATGTCGTAGCATTTCAGCAGTGTTAAGTTATCTTCCTTGTTCTCTCTCTCTCTCTCTCTTTCTGGTTTTCCAGCTTCTGACTTTGTTAAACCACAAGACGTTTAAGCAGGCAAAACTATTTTTCTCACTCGTTACATGCTGAAGTTACTGAAGTTTGTTCAGACTTGAATTTCAACCAGTGTTCAGTTCTGTTCAGTTCAGTGTACATGTAAAACACCAGTTTATGCCTAGAGCTGCACCAAAGTAACTAACTGCTGTTTTGTATCCAGACAAAAAAGAAGTGAAGTGTCCAACACCAGGTTGTGACGGGACAGGTCACGTCACTGGGTTATACCCTCACCACCGCAGTCTGTCCGGATGTCCTCACAAAGACCGAATCCCTCCTGAGAGTGAGTAGATGGTACCTGAAACTTGACCGATGAGTATACAAATGGGACCTGACATTGATCTAAAATGACAACATTTGTTGAAATGATTTTCACCTTTAATATTAGAATTAATATTTAATAACAAATAACTCTAATACTGTTCTAGTAACATGTGCTCTTTTCACTTCCTGATGACTTTCCTGCTACTCTTTAATGCTTATACTGGCACAGAACTAATCATACTGACCTGGGTCAACGTCTGCTGTGTGTCTCTAGTTTTGGCTATGCATGAGAATGTCTTGAAGTGTCCCACTCCTGGCTGCACTGGCCAAGGCCATGTCAACAGTAACCGCAATACTCATCGCAGGTTAATAAAACACAAACACTCACAATTAACATTGTTTCTGTGTACAACTCCAAATTACCAGTAGACTAGTGAGCCTCAAGAATTTCTCCTAATCTTTTACAAAAAAAATGTAGATGTATGAAAGAAGTAAAGCAACAGTACCTTGTGACTTATTTAAAGTGACATGCATGCAAAGTGATTAATGATTGTGTTTGACACACTGAACACATACATGGTTTTCAAAATTTACAAATAAAAATCTGCGAAGTGTGGCGTGCATTTGTTTTCAAGCCCCCTGCATCAATACTTTATGGAACCCCTTCTACTGTAAGTCTTTTGGGATATCACTCAAGCAGCTTTGAACATTTAGAAATGGACATTTTGGCTGATCTTCTTTGTAAAACAGCTGCAGCTCAGTCAGACTGGATGCAGAGTGTCTGAACAGCAGGTTTCAAGTTTTGCCACAAACTCTCAGGCAGGGCTTAATTTGTAAACCGATTGATGCTACCAGAAATTGAATAGCTGGCGGGCCGAGCGCCGGGGGGTTCTGGGGTCATCCCTCAGAAAATTTTGAATAAAGTAGATGCAATTTACTGCATTTTGGTGTATTTTAAAACATCTACACTTACCTACATCTGTAAACACTCGGCTTCTGTCAAACATCCTACCATCTAACCCCCCCCCCCCCCCCCCGCCCCAATCATCACCACCGCCTTACTAGACAGCTCCGAACCAACTCTTCTCTGCTGAATTCACTGTCCTGGGCCCGTTGTTATCCGACTCCTCATGTGAAACCTCCAGGCGACTCCTCCATCTGTTCATGGCGGCTGCCTGTGGGCTCCTGCCTGGTTAGCTTGGCACTCACCCCACCACTCTTTTAGGGGAAGAGACTTTTTATGGGTAGATGCAGAAAAGGCAGCTGAAGAGGCAGCTGGTATGCTTGTAAGTTGCTGTTGTGTTTAAAATGAGTGTTTATGTAATTATTGTTAGATTACATATCCAATATAAGTTTTATTTGTTCAAGGCAGTTACATTTGTTCATAACTTTATTATTAGTAAGCCTGAGAGTTAACGGATCCAAGCAAACAGTTACCGTAACGCACTCTGACAAAATAAGAGAGTTCCCGGATCCTGTTCCAGCAGGATCTAATTCAAATTAAGCCCTGCTCTCGGGACTTTGTCTGGCTCGTTCTAACACCTGGATAAGCTTTGTTGTAAACCAACCCACTGTAACTCTGGCTGCTTTAAACTTCCTAACAACTTTTTCCATGAGCTGTCTAGTGTGTTTCTTGGTCTTCATGATGCTGTTTGATGACTATTGTTCTGTAACAAACCTGTGTCCTTAACAGCACAGCTCAAATTTATATTTGTAAAAAGGTTGAAAACCATGTATATTTTCTTTCTCCTGCACAAATTTGCACTACTTTGTATTGGTTCATCACTTAAAATCCCAGTTAAATACGTTAAACCTTGTGATTGTAGCATGACAAAATGAGGAAAAGTTCAAGCAGTATGAAAACGTTTTCAAGGTACTGTGTATGACTGCATTTAGTTTGTTATTGAGTTGTATTTTAACAAGTAAAACTATTTTAGGGCATTTTATGTTTGCACATGTTATAAAACACCTGGTTTTAAAATAAATGGGAGCTCATCTTTTTTAATACTACTAACACACAGTTAATTGCTTTATCAGCCAATAAATGTTGCCCTACTGATAATATATTTTTTTAATTAAATAACATGAGGATGTGTTTCCTGTCAGTCTTTCTGGCTGCCCAATCGCTGCAGCGACTAAGCTAAACAAGACCCAGGACAAACAGGTTCATCTACAAGCTGCATCCACCGAACCCTCTTCCAACTCTGACAGAGTGCTCAGGTAAGAGCTGCACGTTGGTTGTTTAATGGTTTTAATATCTGACTGACAGCAGCAGTGTTCATGTTACGATGTCTCCACCAGGCCCATGTGTTTTGTGAAACAGCTGGAAATCCCTCAGTATGGCAGTTATCGGCCCAACACTGTAACCACCACACCTCGAGCAAACCTGGCCAAGGAGCTGGAGAAATACTCCAAAGTGTCTTTTGACTATGCAAGCTTCGATGTACAGGTGTTTGGAAAGAGGATGATCATCCCAAAGACACCCAGCACTGCTAACACATCTTCCAAGGCCTTCAAATGTAAGAGCCACACTCCACTAACGCCTTAGTGATATGATGTACGCCCTGTGAAATACTTCTCCTTTAATGAGGTACATTGAGTGTGGTAGTAGCTGAGAACCATCTTCAACACATATGGCTAACACATCTTACAAGGTCTCCCAATATTGAATTAGATGATGTATAAAATTATTTTCTAGGCTTGATCCAAAAGGCTGTCAGTCCATCTCTTTACAATATAAAATGTATTTTGTCGTGACCCTAGGATCTTAGTTGTTTTGGATTCAGATTATCTGGTTGTCTTGTTCACTGTGTACTCTTCTTCTTACTTCCTTGTTTGAGACTCTTTCTATTTAGTTTTCCAGTCTCCCCTTGCATCATCTGTCCATCTCATTCCCTCAGTCAGACTTGCTCTTTATTTCTCACCTGTTCCTCATTCACTTATCAGATCTTCTATCTTCACTGATCTGATCACTAGTGGTTCTTATTTCATCATCAGTTTGTCTTGTGTTCTTTCTCCTGTTTGTTCCTTGAATGTTCCTCATTATTGTCCCCCTCATACCTTTACTCTTTCATTCAACCTTTAATTAGACAGGTAAATCCCATTGAGCCTCGAGGACTCATTTACAAGAGAGACCTGATTATTTATTAATTATCCAAGTTATTCTTATTATTTATTTATTATTTATACCCCGGTTTGTCCACCTGTGCATGTTGTGAGAATGATAACTTGAAAAATAATTGAGATACCAAATTCTGAGACTTCGGGCCGAGGTGGTGTAGAGATAGAGGCAGCCGACTTGGGACCAGAAAGTCACGGTTTGACTCCCAGTCATTCTCACATGTTGTAGTGTTTCTGAGCAAGATACTTAACCCCCAATTGCTCCCCAGGAACTTACATAGCTGCCCACTGCTCCACCTGGGTGTATCTCACGTGTGTTGGGTTAAATACAGAGAAATAATTTTGCCATTGTATGGAAATATACAGTACAATGATGATAATCTCAGACTTCCCATCAATTTTATTGTGTAGTTATTTCTAGTCATACCTAGTCATATATATATATATATATATATATATATATATATATATATATATAT